CGTCCATCTATATGTAAAGGATATCTTAACCTCCATTTACGGTACCCATCGTTTCGACAACTAGCAGCAGTAAGGGAATCAGCGCGCGGGTAATACCCGACTCGGACGCTGTTACGTGAGCACGGGGAATATCCGTGTAATTCCGAGGGGTGACCGCGAGTCCCCCTTACTGCTGCTCGTTAGGTTTCGTTGGTTACACATCTGTCATCGCTGAGTAAACAAATTGCCACCGTACCTCCTTTCACTTTAATCCTATTACACGAGCAGACGAGGGAACAATAGATTGGCCTTTCTTTTCCTACCCCTGTTTATTTTTGGTTATTCTAGGGGATTTGGATTAACTTATTAACCGACGCGTACGCTAACGTAAGCGGTCACGGGGCAGGTATAAGATACAGTAGTTCGTTACATACGATTGGACCGTTGGTCACAGCAATATTTTTGGCGTATATAGACGGGAAAACTGAACAAATCAAGCCAGCACATAACAGAACAGATAAGTAACAGTTTAAACAGTTTCTAACGGCTAAAAAACACCAACATAATGGAGTCTAACGGCTAAAAAACCACCAATTTTTGCCCTAGCGCCCTTGGTAATAACATAGTTTCTCTGATAAACTGAATAGAGAAGGTGCCTGATGACACTTGATACAGAACTGATATAAATGTTTGTGGAATGTTATATGGAATCTTCAAGGGCGGATCCAGGTCTTGCCCAAACTAGGCACTAAATAGTAACTGTACTAAATAGGTTAAACAGGGAAATCACTACTATAAATCAACAATTATAGCCTTCATACGTTTATTCGGGTAAAATGTCCATGTATATTCTAATACTCGATACCGAATAAAATGGTCTGTCTGTCCAGGGGGGCAAAGGGGTCATTGCATCAAAGTAACAGAAGTAGTCGACAAGAAATGAAAGAAAAATAACGAAAATACATTTTTTAAACATTTTAGAGAAAAAAGGTTCATCCCAGATAAAGTCATTCTCATTCATTCTCTATCAATGCAAGGGCAATTACTGTTATTCTACTTACTTGTTGTTACTTCTGTTGCTGCTCTTTCGGCTGCTACTGTTGGTTTAAAAATACAGGGTTAATGACTTTTCTTTTTACTCTAGCAAAACCGAGCTATGACACATATAGTGATTTATCAATGCAAAGGCAAATACTGTTATTCTACTTACTTGTTGCTTCCTCTGCTGCAATAGTTGCAGCTGCAGCGGCCGCTCGAAGCGCTTCTGCTGCAGCCGCATATGCCAATGCAGATTCTGCTCTTGCTGCTGCTGCTGCTGCTGTTGCTGCCCTTTGAGCAATCGACGTCAATTGGGGCACGCTGCAAAAAATCACAACAATAACTTAAAAAGAGTAATGAAAATCGAATCTATTCATTAATTTTTCATGTGAACCAATATATTGTTTGGGGCAGGCCATACGTATTGGTGCTATCCCGCTGTAAACACAGGAAAGACAAATTAGCACTGTCATATCTATTATTTATCAATTCACTTCAATTGACTGAATTGCTCATCATCATCGAGGTTAATATATAGTTATTAACCATTTTTTTAAAGTCAAATATATCAACATTTGATAGAAAACCTTCTCAATTTAACTGTTACTTATTACCAAGAGCTCTATATATGACCAGCTTGGTCATGAGTAGTATATTTATTCTTTGATTGCACGTTACGTCATCGCGGCCTCTCGGGGGAGCGTTGGTGCCATTAGGCCACACGTATCCGCAAATTTTACGAAAACGGATACGTGTGGACGGTGAAAACGATTCGAATACGCTGCGTGTGTTTGCAAACATTTTCGTATCCGCAAAAAATAATTTGCGGATACAAAACTTTCCGGATACGTGTGGACGGGGCCTTAACAAAATATTTCTTATCCGGCATCCATTGTTATAACGGCACGACAATGGTTGCCATGCTTTTGGTTTTCAACTTTCTTGGAATGCTTGCAATCCATCAATCGCTGCTGATACATCGTTAAGGCTACACTTGCTCACTTACATACCTTTCGTCGACATTTTCTATTTTCTATGTTTTATATCATATTCCTGTAAATTTAATTTAAATAGGTGTTGGTTTAGCCGGAACCGTGAAAGCCAAAATCTCCATTTTAACCAGTGTTTTAAGTAATAAATACTGGACAGAGTGAGTGGCCGTGTTGTATCCGATATGCAAACTTAAGGCGTAACCGAGAGCTTATATTTTGGATACAACACGGACAGGAATACTGTATATTGCTTATCAAACATGTAGGTTAGTTCCTTTGTGTTTCACTAAAATTTTCAAGATAAAAGTGAATCTGTCCAAGAAAATCCAAGTTAAAGTTTATGCAAATTAACACAATTCTGTATCTGATTTACAACACAATTATTCACGGTCGTGATTTCTGTAATGTTTTCCTCACGAATTATTGAGTTTGATAATAGCCGTCATCTGATAATCGTTCAGAATAAGCAACTACTTCTTCATAAACTATTTGTACGTAAAACTATGCATCATATAAGAAAATATTTTCTTTACCAATCATTTCTGGCCATAAGAGGAAAAGGAGATTTTTTTCAGTTTTTCCAGCAAATGTTTTTTTAAATTTTGCGATAAAAATTTCCTTCGTTGTGTAATTGCATGCAGTTTGGAAAGAAGGAAGTGCAGTTTTTTCTCGTCAACTTCTCAGTTTAAAGGTTCAATGACCACCATCTATGCCAAAGTTGTCGTGTGTTTATGTTTTGAAATTTAAATATCTTCCTAATTGCTTACCATAGAGTTAAACCCATGCTATATGTTGTTGTAGTTGCGGATCTTTGCTACTGCGCATCTCGTCTTTTACCGTTTCTTATTGATATTTTATTTAGTCAGTTTGCCGCAATAGCAGTTGTAGACCCACAGGGCTAAACCCTAATAGTCCTCCTCGGCTCGGGCGCGTAATGTCTTCCCATTTCAGACCACGTGTCATTCCATGGGGTATCCTTTCTTTGTTTAACGGTTGCGTTCGGTTGCACATTAGAAGACACATGAATATGGATATCACTCAAAGAATGAATCTCATTATCAAGGGAATGACACGTGGTCTGAAATGAGACAACATTACTCCCTTAAGCCGAGGATGTCAATTGCATGTCAATATCCCTTATAAATTGAGGTACAGAATAACTTATTATAAATTTTACAGGTCTAGAAAAACATGAAAAGGAAAAATAGAACAACCAGAAAAAAGGCACACGAATGTCAACGAATATAGAGTATGGTGGATTGTACTCTAGTAATTTGTTTCATGCTCATTAATAATTCACGAGGAAACCAGCCAATCAATGGTCTATTTTTTGGGTCACATGATGTCTTTGGACTGGATCAAAATTGATTAATTTCAGGAACATATCTGTGCCTTAGTCTTTCAATGCTAAACAAATAACCCCCAAATAATTAATGAGTTTGATGCGCCTCGGACTGGAACTAATTGTGCGGACTTGAAATCACTTCCAGTCCTCATTGTCGACTTTGAAATACTACTTCACAGTACATCTTATATAAAATGTCTTTGAACTGTTTTAAGGTTAGGTGTTTAAAATGCGATGGAAGTTCATTCCAGAGCTTAATCCCTCTCGCGGAAAAAGCTAGGAAGTAAAGTAATTTTGTTTATACCAGCTGGTCAGACGATGGTTATTAGCATCAAAGTTACGGCTTTTAAGGTATGATACCCAAAGATTCAACAATTTGAAAGAAAATACCGAGACATTTTATTTTTATACATATTATAAACCTTATAAGGAATCATTTAATACCACCCTTGTTGTTGCTATGGAAACTGAGCCGCACCCAAAATACACCATTTAGAGGCTCTCGCACTAGCAGCTCTAGCTCTTTATCCATAATGCAATTCAAATTAAGGATATACGTTATGCACAGCCTAATCTGTGCAATGAACCTAAAGCTGTCGTTTAGCTAAAATATTCTTGAGATAAACGACTATAAACAATCAAAAAGGTGCAAAATTCAGGCAACGTACGCCCTCGGTTACAAAGCCTTTATTTGATTTAGCAATGTATTATTATGTACTGTTTAATAAACGAGCAGGAGTGTTTTATCGGGTATAAAACACGAGGCGTAGCCGAGTGGTTTTAGACCCGATAAAACACGATCTGCGAGTTTATTAAACAGCTTAAAAAACTCCAGATGTAAGTTCTCATACTGTACCGAATTCTTTACGAAATGAACCAAGTTTGGTAGAGAAAATCCAAGTTAAAGTTTATGCAAATGAAGACGAATCTATATCAGATATAAAACCTCCTTCATGGTCATGATTTCTATTGTGTTTCCTTCATGAATTATTAATGAGTGTTTTAATGAGTCTTTAGAGGTTCATTGCATTGAGATACAATTAAAAAGAATTCCTGGCAAATCATTTTAGTTGAAGCCGTTTCAACTGGAAAAAGTTTTTGACAATTTTTTAAAATTGTCAATTTTTTGACAGGGGTTGGTAACGTTACCTGACATATAGGGGCGCCTGACATATAGGGGCGATGGGGTGGGGAGGGGTGGTCTAAGAACTACATTACCTTACATATAAGGGCGCCTGACATATAGGGGCGATGGGGAGGGGAGGGGTGGTCTAAGAACTACGTTACCATTTATCCATCCATCCATTCGTTTATTTCTTATTCATTCATTCGTCCGTACGTCCATCCGTCCGTCCGTTTGTTTGCTTATTTGTTTATTTATTTGTTTATTGATTTATTCCTTCCTTCCTTCATTTATTTATTTACTTGTGAGCCCCTATATGTCAGGCGCCGCTATATGTAAGGTAACGTAGTTCTTAGACCACCCCTCCCCTCCCCATCGCCCCTATATGTCAGGCGCCCCTATATGTAAGGCGTCCCTATATGTCAGGTAACGTTACCAAGCTTACTGAATTTTTTGGGGTATCATACCACGTTAAGCGTTGTTTTAAAAAATTCTTCAAATGATGTTATACTTTGACTAACTTTTTATAACTCGACAAATTTTACGTAATTTCAGGCAAATTTCTTAAGTTCCAAAATCAATTCAAACAAGGTTTTAAGGTCCCTGGAGATTACAAAAACAATTTCACAAGTTTCAAAGGAATGTATAAAGTCATTAGAAACTAGGTGTGCGCGGACCGGAATTGAGATTTTGTATGAAAATTTGAGATTTTCACGGTTACAACTCTTTTATAATTACGGTGGCTTCTTGGCATTCAAAGCTTTGAATATTAATCTTTCCTTGTAAGAAATAAAAATACTATGCCACGCTGTGGATCATACCTTATTATCGAGATATTTATAACAAGGTTTCGAGGTGCCTAATGGAGTACGTTTTTGCTTCTACAATTTAGTTTGAAGCTTATTTACAACTCGTTAAATTAAATAAATTTTATAAGTTAAAATGTTCTTTAGGCGTTTTGGCCGATGAAATGCCTTGCTTTCCACATATATTGGAACAAAATCCGATGCGAATAATTGGAATAACCCCTATTACGATTTTTTTTTTTTTTTTTTTTTTTTTTTTTTTTTTTTTACATTTATGAAATGTTTCTGTCCGTCACTACCTATTTTGATTTATTCTTTATGAAAAGCGGCATCCTCAAGAGATTTTGAATGTGTAATGAATTCTAAATGTGTAAAGACACAATAATTTGAAGGAAAGACTAAAGCGTATTTTTAAGGACTCTGATGGTCCTTTGCAAGCTCAAATTATATTCAAGCACTTTCCATTTTAATAAGCAATATATCTATTAATATATCTACCGAAACGTTTGCTGGTGCTCTATCTATAAACAAGGTTTGCTCGTACTCACCTCTTGTTTTTGGTCCATAGTTAATCTAATAAAAGAGAATAAGCTAAATTTTAGTATGATATTGGTTATATATACTTGAGAGAAGAAATATGAATAACTCTGCTCAATTTACCGACGCGAAAGCAGAGAAGTAAGGAGTTTTTGTTACAAAGAATACATACCTACTTTATCCTACTTTGACTGTGCTCTTTACTTTATCAAGAAGAACTGTACACTTTGACTGTTGGACAAGCTTATATATATATATATACGAGCGACAAATCGCACCTTCTAATTGGCTAACAGGATTTCGAATTGAACGTCACAAATCATGAAGAATTGTGGGTAAATATGAAACTAAAGTAAACTATAGAAGAATGTTATCAATGAACATCACTGAAATTCCTAATCCTGTTAACCAATCAGAAGGCGCGATTTATGCAATCATTTTTGCTGCAAGACCAAAGAAATGCGGCTTATTCATTAATTGGACTGACTCTTAGTCCCAACAGGATTAATGAACGCTTTGCAGCTTTTGACTAACCCACTCTTTTGTCTTTTGATTGTTTCTTTCGTTTCCATGCCCACCTTGTTCTCATTGGTTTATTTTGTCTTGTTCTTAGTATACATACAACCTCTCTCTCTGCTCTCTTTAACTTCGAAGGTACTCAGTAAGTTTTTTCATCTAAACTATTGAAGAATATTATCAATGAACATAACTGAAAGTCCTGTTAACCAATTAGAAGGCGCAATTATATATATATATAATTCGAGTTATTAATGTTTCTTCCATCAAGTATTGACCGAATCATACTAAAATTTAGACTATTCTCACTGCATACACAATTAGCGTGTCACGTAGGAATTTAGCAACCCCCCATTTATGGACATTGGAGTTTGCGCAATGCGGGTGTAATGCTTTGCGACCCCTGCATATATAAGCGCCACACCCAGATCTTTGAAACCTTCCGTCGAAAGCTGCCTAAGGAGAGAGTAGAAGATTCACCCCCACCCACCTCCCCTGATGGCGGTTGACGACGCATCGCATGCTCATTGCCAGCAGTCGCGGTCACCTTCCAAATCTTAATTTCCGTGGCTCGGTAATGAGTATGCAGTGAGGGCAATATACTTTATACATTGCTTTTAAACTTGTAAAATTGTTTTTGTAATCTCCAGGGACCTTAAAACCTTGTTTGAATTGATTTTGGAACTTAAGAAATTTGCATGAAATTACGTAATATTTTGTCAGGTTATAAAAAGTTAGTCAAAGTTGTAATATTATTGGAAGAAATTTTGATAACAACGCTAACGTGGTACGATAGCCAAAAAATTGAGAATTTTGAAGAAAATTGTCAAAAACTTTTTCCAGTTGAAATTGCTTCAACTAAAATAATTTGCCAGGAATACTTATTAATTGTGTCTCAGTGCAATGAACCTCTAAAGATTCAATAATAATACATTGCTAAATCACATTAAGGCTTTGTAACCAAGGGCGTACGTTGCCTGAATTTTGCACCTTTTTGATTGTTTAGTTGTTTGTTGTTTATCTCAAGAATATTTTCACCCCTAAAGCAGCCATGAAAAGAGTGCGCGCGGAATAACTATATATTAACCTCGATGATGATGAGCAATTCAGTCAATTGAAGTGAATTGATAAATAATAGATATTACAGTGCTAATTTGTCTTTCCTTTGGTTACAGAATAGGACCAATACACCCACGTATGGCGCCAGTATTATATGGCAGTTATGTACCGTATTATATTCCAATATGAGTCTTCGAGCGGCCAGGTAAATATTCACCATAGTCACTGAGCCTGAGGGGAATAAATGCTTTTAGTACAATTTAAGACTTGAATATCACTGAGGGCCCGTCCACACTATGCCGGGGAAAAATGAATCCGCAACTTTCACATGTGCATCGAAGCTGAAATTGAGCCTGCGGTGCCACCATGTTTCCATGACAATCATAACGTTATCGCATTCAAAAGTTTCGGATACGAAATGTTTTCCGTCCACACTAATACGGCTAGCCGGCGTCTTCAAATTGTTCCACTCTGGAGACCGTATTCGAAAAAATTCGTTTTCGGTGAAGAATTGTGTTTCTTGATTACAGACTCATGTACTCAGGCTTAGCCTCGATTTTGTGAAGAATATTCACATGTTCCAGTCAAGGTCCGTCAAGTTTCAAAGTGTTTGTATTGTTGAAATTGTGCATTCTTTACTCTCCTTTAGTATTTGTGAGTAATTGGACACTGATTTGATTTCAACGCTTCAACCTGATATAGACTGTAACGGTACAATGACCGAAAGGACTTATGGGTCCCGAAAACTTGGACCCAGCGCGCTTTGGGAACCAAAATACTCGTCCACAGTCTCTCTCGTTCCAATATTTTCAAGATGGCGGCGAAGACGAGAGAGACTGTGGACGAGTATTTTGGTTCCCAAAGCACGCTGGGTCCAAGTTTTCGGGACCCATAAGTCCTTTCGGTCATTGTACCGTTACAGTCTCTAAACGTGGAGACGGAACGGACGAGCGAGAGACTGTGGAAGAGTCTAGAATCCCGGTCGCGCGAAACAAGGGGTTATTCCCAAACCAGATTCCGGAACAGATTTTTTGTTGTTGTTGTTTTTTTGTTTCTTGCGTACAGTTAGATATTTTTCTTCTAGCTGAAGAGGTTGCACGATATTTTCTTTGAGGTAAAGTGCTTGCTCAATTGCTTACTATCAATCACGTGCCTTTTTGGAGTTGACTAGGGGGCAACTAGCAAATGTTAAGTCAAAACGTAGGGCTGAAGCCGGTCAAACGACAACGTTTAGTCAAAGGACTGTACATACACTCGAACGCAAAAGATAGTCGCATACAATCAGCATTGAAAAAATTAGAATAGAACAGAATGGATGGAATTAAATTTGGATATGTTTTTATTGATTTTTAACTAATTCTATAAATGTGTTTATTGTCTCTGACTATTTCTGTCCTTGTACTTATATATGTCTCATGGCTGCTTTGCTGGTAGTGAAAAGACATTAACCTTCTGTATTACAACAGCAGCAGGAACCACAGCAGCAGCCACAACGGCAACAACAGCACCAGCACCAGCACCAACCGCAGCAGGAACGACAGCAACAACAACAGCGGCAGCACAAATGACTAGTAAGTGTGGGGATTCACAATTCTATATAATACCGTTACGGAAAGATGGGAGGTTTCGATTATTTTTCTTTTTTCTCTTCAGCTGCATCGGCACATTTAAAAAAGCAAGAGAGGAACTTAAAAAAGTGGCTTTAAAAGCATTATTTAAACTACGTAAAGAAATGGGCAATTCACCATTTTCCATACATTGGTTCATTGGTCAAACACAAAGCGCTCAAGTGAGGCGCCAAGGTACTTTTAAAGGATTATTCGAATTTGAACCTTGCAACCTCGACTGAATGCTTTGTGTTTGACCAGTGAACCGATGTATGGAAAATGGTGAATAATTTTAGAACAGATGTTAGCTTGACGATTAAACTTTATAATTCTCTCATAAAACCTATTTTGTTATATGGCTGTGAAGTGTGGGAAGTGGACACAAGTAAAAATTCTGATTATGCACCAGAAGAACAAATACACATTAAGTTCTGTAAAATGCTACTCGGGGTGAGCAAAACAGCCAG